AATAATATATAGTTACATATATTATTCATATAATAATAATAATAATAATAATAATAATAATAATAATAATAATAATAGTAATAATAATAAAAATAATAATAATAATAATAATAATAATAATAATAATAATCATAATCCAGGTCAACTACTGTTTAGTCTGTCCTCAGATATTCACTGTACAGATATTTTATATATAAAGGAAACAGATTCCAGGATATTAAAACATTTGTTATGCTCTTATGTTCCATATTCACTCTTTTCATATTGTCTTAAGTATTTTTTCTCTTTAATGGCATCTTGCTTTAACTCTGACCTTTGTTTTCTACATAAGCTACTGGAACCAGAATTCCCCTGAATGAGTAAATAAAGGGATAAATAAAGGGATAAATAAAGGGATAAATAAAGTGGAGTCTAAGTCTGTACAGACGGGTTTGGGTTAAATTCAAAATGTTCTCTTTCAGTTTGAAACGAGCCGGATTTCATCACCATTTCCTCTGAAATGACCCTGTAGGGCCACGCCCTGTTTCTGCCCGCCGGGTAGAAATGTTACACGACTTCGACATTTGCAAGAACTGTTTTAGGGCGTGTTAATACATTTTATTTTCTTTCATTCTGTATGTTTGCTAGACCAAAAACTTTAGTGTTATTTTGAAAGGATTCTATGGTTCTTTCTCTCTTATTACTCTACTTTTACATTCTCTCATGCATAATAGATGATATATTTTCTATTTGTTTTATGCTTATTTATTTTTCCTTTTCCTTTTCTTTGTGTTGCAAAAACGGGAATTTTAGAACATTTGCTTTTTGAATGTTTAGTAGAAGAAGGACCCTCTAAAAGAGACAGATTAATGTTTTTAAAAGAGAGTTCAGACTTTGCTTTAGGAAACACGGTTTCTGGAGGAAATGAAAAAAAATGTGTGCAGCAGGTTGTAGAGGATTAATTAGCTCAAACTGAGATTATTTATTATTGAAGGTTTTGAATTTGTTTGAATTGAGAAAAAGTGAAACAAGCCTATCTTCTTTTTTGTTTTGTTTTTATTTAGAATGCACTTTTTAAAAAACATGAATTGTTTTATGTTTTAATTCACAACCCAAGACTTTTGATGTTTTCCTGGTAATGAGCAAAAATACTTTTATTGTTTTTATTTTTCCAAATTGTGAGTTTCTTTTTTCTGGTTACTGGATTATGACCAATGCCGGCATTTTAATCTCATACTGTCAGACTGCTGTCATATTTACTTTAAAAAAAAAAAACTAAAATATTGAACTCACAACTTCGTAGAGAATGTTTTATGAATATTTTTTATTATGGTTCAACACTTTTCCTGCACATTAAACAAAGAAAATGTCAAAACTGGAGAAGTCCTGAGTAATTATAAGAACACTTAGTTTAAGAACAAAACTAAGAACTTTCTTTTCTCTTTGTAAGTACATGTTTTGTACACGTTTGTCTGAAAATTTTGTCTCAAAATCACATTTAATCATGAAGGCTCATTATGGATATGTAGCCAGCTTAGTCATTTTGATATTAGGCTAATATAGTTAATATAGATACATGTAGCATGTGTGGCCTTCATTATAGGCTTAACATTTGTTTTTAGCTTTTTTGGTCCAATACGGCTCTTCCAACATTTTTTGGGTTTGAGTTTTTATTATACTTGTATATTGTTGTGGAAATTCTGTTTTAAAGAGAGAATCTGAGTAACCGGTCAAACGAGTGGTTCATATACAGTATGTACCAATCTGCTCTGGAGGAAAGCTAAAGCATAGTATTTACCCCCCCACCCCCCTCTGAGCGGGGGGGGTTAAACCTGAAAACGCCCCGAAGGCCGTCCTCCATCACCCAAAGAACCCAGAAAACAGCCCTGAAGCCAAAAAAGCGAGAGATAAAGTATGTTTCCCTCCAGAAACAAAAAAAGCTTTAAAGTATTCACCAGAGAGAAGTGGACAAACTGGTTATACATGTATTGATTTCCAGTGTTGTTTACTAAAGAAATTAAAAATACTTCACTTCTGTACTTCAGTATATTCATACTTTCCTTGAGTATCATTTTTTTTTATAAATTTCACTTTTACTTCACTATATTGTTCATTTGTACATCCAGATCTATATTTTTAAAGATTGTATTTTTCAGTTTTATCATTTCTGTCCTATATTTCGATTTCTACATTTTATTCTTGCTTCTCATAGAAGTGTTGTGTTGTGCACCAAACACCAAAAAGGCAAATTCCTTGTAAGTCTAAAAACCTACTTGGCAATAAACCTGATTCTGATTCTGATATTTTGAACTTATTTGCATACTTTTACTCCGATACATTTTGAGTGTTTGGTTTAGTTACTCGTTTCATTAAAAAGCGAGAGAGAATCTTAAGTGTTTGGATCCCGTCTGCTGATTGGCTGAAAAAAAGTGGGACCTCAGAGACAGAGTCGCCCCACTTTGGATCCGGAGAAGCTGGGACCCAAACAGAAACGGCTCCTCTTTATGAATTAAAGCTCTCCAGAGATTCTAAAATAAAGCTGGAAGCTGATACTCAAAATAACAAATGCATCCGTTTGAACCAAAATAAAGTCATACAGTGGGGGAAATAAGTATTTGACCCCTTGCTGATTTTGCAGGTTTGCCCACTTACAAAGAATGCTTATTTTTCCTCATCAGATGGTTATCAACTTTTATAAATTCATATGATGTGATTTTCTGGAATTTTCTTTGGGATTCTGCCTTTCACTGTTAGAATGTACATATGATTAAAGTTATAGATCGTTGCATTCTTTGTAAGTGGGCAAACCTGCAAAATCAGCAAGGGCTCAAATACTTATTTCCCCCACTGTAGATAAAAGTCCACAATCTTTCAGTTTGGAGCTTTAATGGTCAGCTCAGAATCCCCACTGGACCCTTCCCAGATGCAGACCACCAGAGGAGCGGTGATGCAGGTAAAGCTTCAGTTAGAGGTCAGAGGTCAGCACGAGGCCACATGATGCCCCGCCATTTTGATTAGGTCACAAATAGAAAGATCTCAGGCAAGAAAATCCTAATAGCTTCATGGCAATATAGATATTATTTTAAAAATAGTGAAATGAATCTTGCAAACACTGAATTAAACTCTATCCATAATATTATGTTAAAATAGTGTAATGTTAAATAGGTTTGTACAATAAGTCCAAACAAGTTTTACCAAAAAATATTTATTTATCACAATTATGAAGAGTTAGGGTTAGGGTTAGGGTTAGGGTTAGGGTCAGGGTTTAGGGTTATGTTTAGGGTTAGGGTTAGGGTCATTAATGTGGGCCACCATAACATCAGTAACAGGTCAGTTTGAAACCAAAGACACTAACCTGTCAAAATTCAGTTAAATATTGGGGTCTTTGTTTTCGTCCTTGTGGCATCTAATATTTTCCTGAGTATCGAGTTGAACATTTTAGTATCAGACAGCCCTACCCAGCTCCCATCCCCCTAACCCAGTGTTTTTCAACCACTAGTGTGCCGTTAGTGATGGTCAGGTGTAGAAAATCATCCTATTTCACCTCATTGGTCTAAAAAGATTTTTTGATAAGGAATTAATTATCTGCAAATAATTTCTGAGTGTGTGTGCTGTTCTAGTGACTGGTGGAGTAATCATGTAATAATTCCTTATGACTAGATTTTGTATATAATTTTGTATTTTGAAGTGGACATGTTAAGAGCAATTTGAAAGAAGAAATATAAAATATGATAAAAATACATTTTTGTGTTTATTTGATTCCTATTCAAGACACTTAAGATAAGAT